GGTGTCACATGCCAGTATTACACAAGCGCCTTGGTGTCACCATGTAAGTATTACACAAGTGCCTTGGTATCACCAAGTAAGTATTACACAAGTGCCTTGGTGTCACCATGTAAGTATTACACAAGTGCCTTGGTATCACCAAGTAAGTATTACACAAGTGCCTTGGTGTCACCATGCCAGTATTACACAGGTGCCTTGGTGTCACCATGCCAGTATTACACAAGTGCCTTGGTGTCACCATGTAAGTATTACACAAGTGCCTTGGTATCACCAAGTAAGTATTACACAAGTGCCTTGGTGTCACCATGCCAGTATTACACAAGCGCCTTGGTGTCACCATGCCAGTATTACACAAGCGCCTTGGTGTCACCATGCCAGTATTACACAAGCGCCTTGGTGTCACTGTGTCAGTATTACACAAGTGCCTTGGTGTCACTGTGTCAGTATTACACAAGTGTCTTGGTGTCACCGTGTCAGTATTACACAAGTGCCTTGGTATCACTGTGTCAGTATTACACAAGTGCCTTGGTGTCACTGTGTCTGTATAACACAAGTGTCTTGGTGTCACCGTGTCAGTATTACACAAGTGCCTTGGTATCACTGTGTCAGTATTACACAAGTGCCTTGGTGTCACTGTGTAAGTATTACACAAGTGCCTTGGTGTCACTGTGTCAGTATTACACATGTGCCTTGGTATCACCGTATCAGTATTACACAAGTGCCTTGGTATCACTGTCTCAGTATTACACAAGTGCCTTGGTGTCACTGTGTAAGTATTACACAAGTGCCTTGGTGTCACTGTGTCAGTATTACACAAGTGCCTTGGTGTCACTGTGACAGTATAACACAAGTGTCTTGGTGTCACTGTGTAAGTATTACACAAGTGCCTTGGTGTCACTGTGTAAGTATTACACAGTGCCTTGGTGTCACCGTGCCAGTATTACACAAGTGCCTTGGTGTCACTGTACCAGTATTACACAAGTGCCTTGGTGTCACTGTGTAATTATTACACAAGTGCCTTGGTATCACTGTGTAAGTATTACACAAGTGCCTTGGTGTCACTGTGTAAGTATTACACAAGTGCCTTGGTGTCACTGTGTCAGTATTACACACGTGCCTTGGTGT